TCTGTTGAGTCTGTTGGGAACAAGTATGATGCTTTAGAATTTTCTTAACAGTAGGGTAATCAAAATGTGAATGTCTCTTGTGTGTGCGCCAAGCTTGTTTCCTATGCATTGTAACTGCATTTAACCTGCTGTTTTCCTTTCCCTTCTGTCTTGGCATGCTTTCTTTCTTTTCCTGGATGTCAGGAGCAAAAGCGTATAGATGGCACCACCTGTGAGGTGCAAAAGGTTAGAAAAGACAGAAACAGGTGCCAGGAGTGGAATATGATGGCATATGACAAAGAGCTTAGACCCGACAACAGGTTGTCTCAGAGTGTGCACCACGGAGCATCTTCCGAGGGATCCCTGTCCCCAGACACTAGGTGTGTGTGTGTCACAGTCCCCTACCCCATGCTTGGGGCCACTGTATGCTACCTGGTTTTGTTACAATTGGAAATATACCAGCAGTTTGGGGTTTATATGACCCACAATATATTTCAAAACTCTCCTGAAAACTTACTTATGTATATTTTGATTATTATTACCTTAAGGCAATATTAATTTAAATTGGGTTGCTTTATCTGATTTAAAAAAAATCTCTTTGATTTAAACTTACTCTTCAGTTAATCTAGAGGTAGTTAACATTAATTCAAAATTTGGAGTAACTGCCAATGACTTCAATTTTACTTTAATAATTATTTAGTCCTTTGTTTTTGGCTTTGAATTTTGAATTTTTTTTGGTAACTTGTTATCTAAAACTGATCAGCAAGTGGTAATTACTGTGACTCAGGAATACCTTCTTGAGCATTTTGATAATCCTCTGGAAGAATGATGAAGAAAAAATGATTTCTTACTTGGATAACTAATTTTGTATATTCTAATTTCAGGAGAAAATTTCTGGTGGAGTTTATTTTAAAATTTTAGTGATTAAGAACAAATGTTTCTTTCAGGTGTGAATTAGTAGGTCACATTTGTCACAAACGAGAGTCATTGGAAGAGATGATAAAAACTGATTAGCCAATTTTAACCTTCTGACTTAATTTCTTCCTTCTGGTTTTGTTAAGTTGTAGTCTTCTATTTGCATAGACTCTCAAAGTCATCAACATTTAAAGTTTTGAATAGAGAATTCTTATGTGATTCAAGCATACATCAAAAACAGCAGTAACCTCGATCTTGTGTTTTATCTGTCTCCTTTTTTTCTTTTTTTTTTTTTACCTTTGTGACTTGTCTTAGCAGACTTTAACATGCAGAAGGTGCTAACTGAATATTTGCTGCCAAGATTTATTTGGTAGATAGAGTGGCGCAAATATTCCTACTGACGTAGGTCTGTGTTTCATTGGTAGGATGTGAAGAAAGATTGAGGTCTGCCCCCCTTCTCTCCTCTTCCCCCTTCCCCTCCCTCTCCCTCTCCCCCCTCTCTCTCTCTCTCTCTCTCTCTCTCCCTCCCTCCCTCCCTCCCTCCCTCCCTCCCCCCCCTGTTTTCGGTCCTGGGAATTAAACCCAGGACCAAATTATTTAGACCAGCCCTTTTTTATATATTTTATTTTGAGACATGAAGTTGCTTAAGCCCACATTAAGTTGCTGAGTCTGGCTTTGAACTTGAGATCCTCCTGCCTCAGCTTCCTAAGTCTGCGGGGTTTATAGGCATGTAGCTTTTACAGCTGACATCTATTAAATATTAGAGAATTGTTGGAGCTTTCACTGACTTCTAGCCCTATATTTAAATATTTATGTGTTTATTTCTGTCAAAAGTTAAAATGATGCTATAGTTCTGCTTCTAGTTCTTTGGGGTAGGGAAGAATATGTGAATTTAATATCTCCCATTAATGTCAGTTTGCATTTTTCATTTCCCAAATAATATAGTTGTTATTATTTATTCATGAAGAATTAATACTTTGTTTTTCCCACATATAATCTTTTTTAACAGATGTAAATAGATAAATGATGAATTTTTTAAAAATCCTCAGTTGAATGATTAATAATCATTCTAGCATCTGAGATGAGATTATTCCAAAGATTATTATTCTTTGTTGGGCACAAAGCTGGTGATTATTTGAATTATTTAGTATCTGCCTTTGTATTTGTGTTGCTTAGATAAGTCTTCATTTCTCTTATTTGTTTTHCATACTGAATTAGGAAGTTTATTARGCTCCTAATCTCCATGTCTAGGAYGTAAACATGGATTTACATGCATTGTCTCATTTTGTGGATCTTACATGCATGTAGTCTTCATCAGCTGGACCTAGGAGTCTACTTGTCAGTAATTTACAGTTAGCTCAATGTGAGTAAATGGCAAATACAGGATGATGCACAAGCCAGAAAAAAAACTCCCACCCAATATCATTTACTTTGTTTTTTTTTTTTCCAAAACCATATCACAACTCTCTCTTGTAAAAAATAAATTTCAGAACGAGCGAGGCATTTCATTGACCTCACTGAGAAAAATAAAGATAATTCTATTATTTCAGAATTCAGCAATGAATGTCCAACCATGGCTAAAAGGTATGCCCTGAGAATTAAATTAATTTAACAAGCCCATTAAGGTTTATAAAGCTGTGTTAACCTAATGTCAGGAAGGGGCACAAGATACAGGCACACATTTCCCTGCTCATTTTGCTGTGCAATTCTCCAAGGATGCAGTGTTATAAACATCGTCATTGTCTTCGATGCTCTGAGTGTCTGTGGAATCGGGATTGCTCACCATGATGTCCACAGAAGAGAGACTGGTAATGACGGCATGCACCCGCTGTGCATAAATGTCCCTAGTGTTAAAGTAAGGTAGCTCATGACACTTCTCCAGTGGGTCCTCACTGCACTGGTCCACATCAATGTCCTTTTGATTCTGGTAGTACTTGGAATACTTGCTGAAGATGATGGTGATAGGAAGGGCCACCACCAATATGCCGCAGATGATGCATGTGCTGGCAATAATCTTCCCGGCCAAGGTGACAGGATGGGTGTCTCCATAGCCCATGGTGGTCATGCTGATGGTGRCCCACCACCAGCAGACGGGGATGCTGGTGAGGCTGGTCATCTTTCTCCACAGAGTAGATAAGCACAGAGAAGATGGAGATGCTGACAGACAGGAAGAGAAGCAGCAGCCGAACTTCATGGTAGCTGTGTCTCAGCATGGCCCCCAGAGACCGAAGTCCTACAGAGTGCGGGGCCACCTTCAGAATTCAGAAAATCCTCATAAGGCGAAGGATCTGGACCACCTTGCCATGTTCTCAATGTCCTCGTTCTCTTCTTCCTTGGTGTCTACCGCCAATGTGGCATAGAAAGGAATAATGAAGACAAAGTCAATTAAGTTCAGAGGATTCTTCCAGAATTTCGTTTGACAGGAAGCAGCAACCAGCTGGATGGCAAGCTCCCCAGTGAACCAAGCAATACAGGCGATCTCCACACCCTCCAGCACAGGGTCGTCCACCTCCCCATCCTCATTCTGGAACTCCGACATGCTGTGGACACACATGGCCACTATGGAGGCCAGCACCACGCTCAAAGAGGAGATGGCAATCAGCTTGGCAGACAGGCAGTACCCAAGGTTTTCCATTCGAATCCAGATTTTCTTC